AACTAAGGAGCCCGATGTGGGGCTCAATCCCAGGACCCTGGGATCGTGACCTGAGCCAAAGGCAGATGCTTAACTGATTGTGCCACCCAGGCATCCATGCAGAATGTCTATTGACAACAAAAATGAGAACAACTTCCTTAATATTGATTTGGTATATTGTTTTAAAAAACTTTTCTTTAGCAGTGACAATATTCCATAAAAGAAACCTAATAGGACTGTATATTCAATTTCTGTTTATGTGGCTATGTGTTCAGTTGAAGGGGGAGTGATTAATGTTGTGGCAGCAGGTCCCAACAGAGGGTAGTGCTGGTAGTGTTAGAGGCTTTTGTCATATTACTTAAAAGTGAAGTCATTGTTCCTATTTGTGATTATAGAGTAAATTGTAGAGTAAATTATTATGGAACTAGATACAGGTTCAGTTATCATACCAGTGGCTATTGCGGTCATTGGTTCAGCCTATAGTGGGGAAAGAGGCTGCTGTGGTTGTAGGTTCAGTAGAAATTGTGGAGCCTGCTGGTATAGGTAGAGATGCTAGTTCTGATGAAGTAGATGAACTTGACATAGTGCTACCTATGGTTCTTTGTTTTGTGAATGTGATATTGATGGCTGTTGAAATAGTAGGGTTGACTGCAGTGAAGGAGTGCACAGCAGTGCCATTGTTGGTACAGCTGTTGTGGTTGTAGCCAGTCTGTAACAACTTCAATTTCTACTGTATGTACAACCATAACAGCTACCACCACCACCACCACCATTTCAATTGAACCTACAGAACACCAACCACACTTCAACTGTACCTATTACCAGTCTCTACTAGCACATTAGCAGAAATGACAACCCCAACAGCAAGCACCATATGTCAGCTGAACCTACAAGTAACACTATGTCAACTGAGGAGACACTTGTATGGAACCCCCAACTACTACTGCTTCAGTTGAAACTACAGCTTCCAGAGGAACCACTACTTTCACCTGAAGCCATAACCATTACCAATGAAATTTACAAGCATAACAGGCATCACCACAAATGTACTTCTTCTGTTGTATCCACTGAACAAAGTACTGTCATAACCACTATTACCAGGTTAAATGAAATTGAAACTAACATAGCTCTATTTGAAACTACAACTACCATAATTTGTCCTGGACTGAAAACTAGAACTTCCACTAAAACGTCAATAAAATGGAGATCTGATAGATATAGAAAATAAATGAGATGGATTTGGTGTTGTGGCATTGATAATGGGCCAACTTGTTATTGTTGGAGTAGTTTAAGTTTTATGACTATAAGGTCCAGTGAAATATTTCTGTTGACCAAACAAACACTTGTGATAGCATTTGTAGATTCAAATTTGAGTATGAATGACTGTGGGGATGGTTAGATGTAACATAATCAAGGTAGTAATTAAAGATTGGGTTGCTGGTGGAGAAGGCCATTGTAGTGTTTTGCCATGAGAATTGTGGCATTAGCATTTACAGTAGAAGATTCACTGGAAGCGAAGAGAGTGGTTGTGCTGGTACTTGTTGTGGGCTGTATGTTTAGTTGAAATAGAAGTAGCTGTAGAAATTGTAGGCTCAGCTGAAGGAATAGATGTAGCTTAATTTGACATGATGTTAGTGGTAGAGTTAGTAGACATTGTGATAGTTGCATTTTAGGTGAAGTAGGGTAAGAATTATGTTCACTTGAAGTACTATTAGTAGAGGGTTGAATTGAAATGTTGGTAATAATGGTAACCATGTAGTAGTAGGATCAGTAGAAGTTAAAGTTGTGGATTTAGCTGAAGTGGTATTTCCTAAAGTGATTGTCAGGTCAGTTGAACTGCTATTAAAATTAAAGTGAAATTTAAATTATAATCCTTGGAGTAGAACAACAAACAGTAACATCATACAAGTTCCCTATGGTTTCCGTAAGTCGGTATCCCACCAAGGGTCACAACAATCGGACTTCTGTCACCATAGATTCAATGTGCCTATTTTTAAACTTCATGTAAATGGAACCGCACAGTACATGCAATTTTGTGTCTGACTTATTTAACTCATCAGTAGATCTGTGATTTGTGTGGGTATCACAATTTTTTCTAGGCCCTGATAGTCTAAATGTCTGACCATGGGATTCCAAGTAGCTGTATGACCTGAGCTGTCTGTTATGAACTGATTCACCAAGTCATGAAGTTGGGCATGTGTGGTGGTACACACCTTCAAGAAGGGATACTGCAGGAGTCCCAGCTTCAGTAAAAGTAGACAAGGCATTTGTGCCTATGACTCAGAAGATGCCATAGAGCTCTGGGCAACTGTGGAAAATTGAGATATGGCATCTAACCTCTGGAAGGCTCAATTAGAGAATCCAGTATTTTGGGACAATCCATGTCCTATTTTGCAGATAACTATTCTCTATTTGGGACAGTTGCAGAGCCTTCTCTTGAAAGCATACACTGTGTCACTGGCCCAACTTCAATGACTTAGTGGATCAGATAAACCCATTATAGCTAACAGCCAAACATTCTAATGGGTTGATAAAGTGAGTCAGGAAACACATAAAGAAGTCATATATGGTGCCTCCAAAATAAAACAGGCCCACCAAGCAATATGTCATTAAGTTAGTGGACATGAAAAATAAAGCAACTTGCCTTTCACTTCAGAATGTTATCTTATATGCATTTCCCCAGCCTGCAGAAGGCTCTGCCCCCAGAGCTTTCCAGGGAGAGCAGTGGTACTGCCCTTCCTGATAGGATCTTTTTACTACATGATGGAGGGCTTTTCGTCTGGGTCCTCCTGAGGGAAGCAATCATAGGATAGGTCAGAAACTCACATGGCAAATTCAGTGCAACATATCTAGTCCCAAGCCTTTATGTTTTTAATTTTTTTTAAATATTCTATCAAAGAAGTTGTGTCATTTCGGCTCCATTAAATGTAACGCACCACTGTCTTGGTTTTATGCAACCAAATGAGCAACCATCAGTGCTACTCTGGGCTCCTCAAGCTAGGACATTAAATCTAGAACCTTGAATAGGTATACCTGTGTCATTACATTCAGCTCAATCCCATGTTAAGATCCTTTCTTTCTGGACCAGCACTCTCAGAATATACTCCCACACATGTTTCCTGTCCTTCTGTCAATGTTGTTTGGCTGTGTAATCCCATTTTCTAGGAAGTGGTCACGGAAAATAGCTTGAAATATAGATTATAATACCTTTCCATATTACTCATAATTGAGGACATAAAAGAACCTAATAGGTTAGCTCAACTAATTCACATATGACCTCATGCTGGGCATTAAATGTATTGTTTTTTAAAATACTTTAAATTACTGGGGCAAATGCATATGCTAAAATGTTAAACATGAAAGAATATACTGTGTGTGTGTGGTGTGATCACAATTCAAAAAATGTATGGCTAAAAACCAGAGGCTTTCTAATTCCTGTAGCATGAGAACAACCACCTAGTTCTGAATCTCCCTACATTTATTTCTGACGTCCATACAAAGTGGAAAAAACAGAATAAATAAAACAAAAATTTCCATAATAAACATCTATTGTATAACTCAAAAACAAAGAAGACCTATAAACTCCAACATACATGTACGTAGGGTGAAAAAAAGTTAAATCAGCAGAATATTTGTTGTAGTACACATGCTAGCAAAATTAGAAGTTTGACAACATGAAGTGTTAGCACTTGTGAAAAAATGAGAATGCTGTTATGGGAGTGGGTATTCATACCCACTTGGAAACAATTTTGGCAAGATGTGGTGAAGTTGAAAAAACACACACCTGATGATCCAGGAATTTCACTCTACATTATACATCTTGAAAAAAAATTATTTTAAAGATTTTATTTATTTGAGAGAAAGGGAAAGAAAGAGAGAGGGTGGGAGGAAGGAAGAGGAAGGGGAAAGAATTTCAAGCAGACACCATGCTGAGTGTGGAGGCTGACGTGGGGCTCTATCCCATGACCCTGAGATTTTGACCTGAGCTGAAACCAAGAGTCAGACACTTAACTGACTGAGCCACTCAGGTGTCCCTCCACATCTTTTAGGAAAAAAAAAAAAAATTTTTTTTAGAAAAATTATTATAAATGTTTCTAAGAAGACATATACTAGAATATTCATAACATCATTGTTTATAATAATGGAACCAAACTCAATTTCTATCTCTAGGAGAATAGAATAATAATTGTGTTATCTTCAATCAATGAAATACTATAAAACAGTGAAAACGAATGGGATAGAGTATCAGTGTCACATTTTATAAATGTACTCTGGGGCAAAAAAACCCATATTGTCAAAAAACACACTATGATAGGTTTCATATACATTTTAAAACATGCAAAAAATTACATATTTTTTGGAATATGTTAAAACATAGAAAAATATAAAGGAAATATAAACATCAAATTGAGAAGAGTAGTTACCTCTGGTAGAAAGAAAGAGAACATGGGGATAAAGACAGAGATGGCCCTAATGAAATATAAAACATTTTTTCTTTCTGTGATATCATGGAAAGATATTTGTTCTAGAGCTTCCTCAGTCCCATAGAGCCCCCATCTTCATCACCCACTCAACACCATGTAAGGCTGAGGACATGAGCAAAGCCCCACCTTGGAACCGTGGGCCTGCTGGTTCTGCCCTGTCCACCGTACTCTGAGTAGGACTATGATGTTCCATCGCTCAGCTCTTGGATCTTATTCTAATCCCAGGTATAGGGTTGACCCCAAACTTCCATATGTTGTGCCCGAGTTTTTGCGTCTGAGAGATCACCAAGGAGCCAAGCACCGATGCAATCAGAGGAGGGTTTATTCGACAAGCTTAAGTTTGGGCCCAAGTATATCCGTCACAGCGGAGTAGGGACTTGGACCCCGAGCTTAGTTAAGGCAGGGGTATTTATGGGTTCCTGTTACTAAAGCAGGGTGGGGATTCCTGGAACCAAAACAGGGTGGGGATTACTAAAGCAGGGTGGGGGAAAGTTCAGCCCTTGCGCACAGGGGTCTGAGATGGCTGCCAGAGCTAAGATGGCTGTATTTATGGTAAGGCTAAACCTGAGGTGGGATGGCCTTGATTTTCTCGGCCTCCACATTTCCCCCTGAACAATTTTGGCCCTTAAATCTTTAAGGTTGTTGAAGGTGGAAGGTCTCATCTTCTGTAACTTCTTCCTGCTAAGTAGGGGCGTAGAGTTGTCCCTACCTACTCGGATCAACATTGATCAGTTGGGGAATGCATAGGGGAGTTATGAAAGACAGAGGCAGCTGGGTCCAGGGCTTTAAATCAATCATTAAAGGAGAGAGGGACTGTTTAAAGTGCTAACCTGAGTAGGTCAGAACCCAAGAAATATTTTGTGATAATCTGGAACATCAAGATGGCTACACTTATGTCAGGGCTAGACTCGAGATGGGTACAGCCTTGTTTTTCTTGGCCTCCACACATAGGCCCCATTTCTGACAACCAAGATATGATTCCTGACCTTACAAGTCCCAATTTCTCTCTTTGCCTCACCAGGTAGACCTGAGATTTTCTTAAATTATGATTCTGAGTTCCCACTCTAATAACTGGTCTATTTCTTGCAATTGTTAATGAGGCCTGGAGCCCTAGGCTGTTCTTTCATGTGCATTCCTGCAGTCTGCAGACCTTTTAGCAAACCTCAACTCCTAGATCCAAGGCCCTGCTGGACATGTCTGCACAGCTGCTAGCAGCCCCCCACTTTGAATCTCTTAGATGTCTGAGTCCTGTCATTTGTCTGATGTTTGTCTAGAACATGCAGGGTCATGGACATTGAGCTGTGTCTCCACCCTGGGAATTACCAAGTGGTACTTGGAACCTGATTTCCAGCACACTCTATCCTTCTGGGCAGGTCTAATTCCAGATGATAGCACCACCCTGGCCTTGCTTACAGTAAACATCCATACTTCCCTAATTATCTTGACATATGTCACCAGAGTCTCTAAAGGTTCAACAGTTGTATGATCTTCCCAATAAATTTAGCCTCAAATTTTCTTTCACCTTTTCTCTGCAACCTTCTTTTGGCACAGTATGGTATATATTAGGCAATCAACAATGGCTATAGATAACAGAAGAATGGGAAATCTGAGATTCTGAGGTCCACACACTCTAATTTTCTTTTTTTTTAAGAGAGAATGCTTGTGAGCAGGGTGGGATGGGGGGAGAGGGTGGTGCAGAAGGAGAGGGAGAGAGAATCTTAAGTAGGCTCCACACTCAGCATGAAGCCCCATGTAGGGGCTTGATCTCATGACTCTAAGATCATGACCCTGAGATCATGACCTGAGCCGAAATCAAGAGTCTGTTGCTTAACCGACGGAGCCATCCAGGCTCCCCTATACCCTCTAATCTTAACTTGGATTTATAAAAGTTCACTTAAAGCATATGTGTCTCATCAGGAAAGTGAGAATAATAATACTTAATTCTTGTAGGTGTTATAAGGATTGTCTATGAGCAGTGTGGTATACCTATTGGAATAGGCATAAATATCCCTGTAACGTTAATAATATTATGTTAATAAAATCTTATGTCAGGGGCTGTCCAAGGTACCATTGTTTGCTGCAGTCCAGCAAAAGTTGAAACTTTTAAATTCTTTTATTCATTCTTTTCTTCTTCTTCTCTCCATTAAAAAAAAGCCAGTTATAAGAGTCAGTTTACCAACTGAAGACTTTATAAATTAGTATTTCAGAGCAATAAGAATAAGGAAGGATATATTTGTTATCTTTAAAAAATTATAAAATTTCTACAAGCCACATATATTGTCCCTCATAAGAAGCGCTTAGGTGAGATGTGTTTTTATAATTCAGATTTTTAAAAGTCTTATAAAGGCAATATGAAACATTATAAAATACCCCCATCAGGACTGTGATAGAAAACCTGCAATAGATATTGATATTTTTGTAATTAAACTTGTGACTTATCATGCTAAATTTATTAAAGGCTAAAAGTAGCCTTGTTAGTTTTGATTAACTTTTGCTGCCAAACAAATTTATGCCAAATATTCAAAATAATGTTTTCAAAGTCTTTTCAATTTTGGAATTGTGAATTAAGGATTGCAGACCCATATTTTGAAGAAAGAATGGTTTAATTTTGGGTGTCTCCAGACATAGCAGGACCAGAGTTTAAGGCCATTGAAGGAACAAGGAAAATTTTGGCTTGGTAAAAAAAGAGAACTTCCAGGGGTGCCTGGGTGGCTCAGTGGCCCTCATCAGGCTCTCTGCTCAGCAGGGAGCCTGCATCCCCCCTCTCTCTCTGCCTGCCTCTCTCTGCCTAGTTGTGATCTGTTTCTCTCTGTCAAATAAATACATAAAATCTTCAAAAAAAAAAAAGAGAGAACTTCTGAACCATGAAGGTCATCATAAAATGGAATACCAGACCTTGCAAAAGCCATAAATTCCCAGTCCCTATGGTCAAACAGAGATGCGTTATGCAGTTTCTGTTTATTCTGTAGAAGCTGATGTATTTACCGTGATGGAAACAACTTCCCATCCTACAAAACACACATATCTTGAAATAAATAAAAAAGAACATTCTTTGTTTAAACAAAGCTATTACAATTTAAATAAAATGGAAAGTTTAAAGCCAAGCATTCAATAAACGAAGGTTAGGGGGTCAATAAGGGTCTTCTCTGCCTGAATCAATACTGTCTGGATCCCCAGGTTTGAGACATGTGTTAGGTGCTCAATAAACAGTTGGGAATAAGTTAATGAAAGACCATGTTTGCTAGTATAAACATATTTAAAATTCGTAAGTACATTTCAAATCTGTAATTAAGAAATTCAGTGGCATGCATTAAAGCATGGTTTTCTCCTGAAGTTTCTATTTTAAAGTAAGGCTAATTATTCTAACTCCATTGTTTTACTGAAATACTTTTTAACTACTTTTGATTCAGGGAAGGAACACTTGCTATGGAGATTGAGTCAGCTTTGATAACTGAATAAAGAACACCCTGATAGTGTTATGATCACCATATATAAAACACATTTGCTTAAATTTTCAATGTTCATTTTTAACTTTAAATGATTGCTTCTGATTGCTTTGATAATAAATATGATAGGGCACTTTGGAAATATATTTTTGTCCCTTTTTTTTCACAATGATCTTTCATTCTTTTGAATTATTTGGGTTATAAATCTGTATTTTACTTAGGCTTGAAATCCTGCCTGATTGCTTATTTTTAATACCAATAACAGAATGAAAAACAAAATGTAATAATCCCTTTCCCTAAAATATCCAACATATTGGATCTCATATTATAAACTGGCCAAAGAAGTAATAAAGCATAGTGAAATTTCAGGCAAGAAAGATTTGTTTGAGTAACATGATTTAAAAAAAATAGTTTTGACTTAGACTCTCAGATAACAATGCAATTCACCTATTAGATGAATGAGGAATAGAACTTCCCCCTAAAGATTGGTCAGCTATCAGGGTGCCTGGGTGGCTCAGTGGGTTAAGCCTCTGCTTTCGGCTCAGGTCATGATCTCAGGGTCCTGGGATCGAGCCCTGCATCAGGCTCTCTGCTCAGCAGGGAGCCTGCTTCCCCCCCACCCTCTGCCTGCCTCTCTGCCTACCTGTGATCTTTCTCTCTGTCAAATAAATAAATAAAATCTTTAGGGAAAAAAAAAAAGATTGGTCAGCTATCAAACAATTCCCTCAACTACTGTCAGTCAGTGAGAATTTCAGGTTTCTTTTTGGCTATAAATCCTGTGAATGAAGACTTTTTATAGGAGATTTTGACAGAGAGAGATACCCATGCTTTCTGTTCTTTATAACAATCCAGATGTGTTTTGTTTTCTTCTGTTGACCTTTGGATGAAGGCATTCATGAGAATTGTTAATAATCCATGCTGAAGAATTGTTTTCCACAAAATAAACAAAACTCTAATATTTACATGGTAAATTTAGCTTTGGGACAATGTGTTGTTTAATTTTGTGGCTATTTTAAATAAATTTAATATTTTCTATGTTTTTCTTCCAAGCTTTGGAACTGAGCCTTGCTGCTACTCATAGATGGATTAAAGACTGTGAGCATGAGATCAAGGGATAGAGTAAACTTTCACTCTCTGTGCCATTGCTATAATGTGCAGATGCTGTCCAAAATAATGGAGTTCTTCCTACATCCCAGCTATGTTGCACTAGTACCAAATTAAAGTAAGTGTCTCCTAAGAATGTAAGTATAGTGATATTTTGAAGCAAATACAGTCAAGTTTATACCCCTTGTTTGGTAATTTTATCATTCTGATTTTCAAAGAAATCAGTTCACTAGAAGGTCATGTTTAATATTATTAACATCTTTGACCCCTGTATATCCTTTGTAGTCCATGGCCATACATAGGCATCCTTGGTTTTGTTTCAACAGGAGTAAGAGTAGTCGTTATGTTTACTCCTCCTTAGAACAAATCCCTTCCCAGCTTTTCAATTCTTTGGTTGCTTTTCTATGATCTCTATGTCCTAAGGTTTGATGCTACGTCATTTCAGATCCTGTAAAGCTACTTAAGCTGAAGGTGTTGAATACGTTTATAAGATAAATTTCAAAGGATCAAAGAATCCAGAATCTAAAAGTGTCAGATACAGAATGCACAGTGGTGTGGTCTGTTTTGTTTGCTACTCAACTTTTTGTACTAGGAAAAGTCCCTGGCACACTTTAGAAACTCAGTATCCTCACTGTTGAGTGAATAAATCAATAAAAGTTCATCCTTTTTCAGTTTGAGACAAACTAGATTTCCTGACAAAATGACAACAAAAACTCTTCCTCAAGATTTTCAACATTCTGTCATTCCTTTGGCATCATTGCCTAGGCTAGGAAGATTATAATCATTTTTAAATGCATGTTAATTCCTGAGTAACTGCCCAAGTAGACTTCCAGACACCAGCCTTGAGACTGAAAAGGTGAAGCCATCCTAAGGTCATGGGTGACTAAGAGATGGTGCCCACAAAGGCAAGAAAGCATTCATGCTTGGGTAAAGAGAAAACAATGGGAAACTTCCAACTCACAATTTTTTTTCTTTGGTTGGTCCTAAAATAGAAGACATGTGTCTGAAAGATGGGGCCAAAGGGAAGAAAAAAACTTGAACATGTAAGATTTTCAAAGTTCCTTTCTCTCATGAGTGTCTTTGAGGGAGTAATCACAGTAGCGCTCAGAGGCTGTATTGGTTTTCTGTGATTAACACTTCATTTCCTTCTATAAAATAGATTCCACTTTAATGCATAACTACTTATTACTTAGTTTAATCCTCACCTGCATTGATGCATCAGAGTTGATTTTCTACTAGTCATTTAAATTATTTCTCAGGTCGCAGATATAAAGGGCTGCACAGGAATTGAGAAATATCCTTGGAGTTAAGCCTGTGGTGGAAGCACAAGAATGGACAGGAAGCATGGAAAATATGTGGTAAATGTTGAACGCTCTGAAAACCAGTCTGTGAGTATTGCTGCCCTATTTTAATACTTTGCCTATATTGCCATCTGATTTTCAGCCTTTAAAATCAACGAATCTCTTTACTACTACATGGTCAATGTCATAATTTTGCATTATTCTCTAAAATGAAGAGTAGCCATGTATTAAATTCTTCTGTTTCAACTTTTCATGTTATATTCTTCTGTATTTTACTTTAGAAATTGTTTTGTGTATTTGCTAATTTAAAGCATTGGCAATGTTTCCATTACCACGTGATACACAAATAAATCCATCTAACTTTCTGTATTCACCATCGTGGAAACATGAAGCTCCAATGATATCTTTGGTTTGGTTTTGAAGTAATATTTTTACAGTTTGAATCTTCACTTTTATATACTAAACCCGTTAGAACTTAGAGATCTAAATATGCTGCAAATCCAAATATTAATCTTGGATCTTGTCATTAGGCCTAAGAAAGAAATCCTCTAAAAATCCCCACTTTGTATAAACATGTGGTCATTTTATCTGTCTTCCAATGTTTTACATCAAGAATCAAGCCTTCACTGTATAGCTGTAAGTGCTTTTCATATCTGAACAAGTAACCTTTGTTAAGAGAACGAAGGATGGAAGTGTGCTACAAATTAAAATAGTAAGTTAAAATTCACTGCCTGAAGAATGAATGAAATATTTTTGCTTTGCAATTTGGAGCTATGGCAATTAGCCTGTATTAATTGCCTACAAGATAAGCCAAAGAAGAAAGTCTTGGCTCTGTAAGTGTTAGGTGAACAAAAGACTCCCCCGGAGAATTTCTGGTGTACCAAAAGAAAAGGGGCTTGTCCCTTGAGTCATCATACAGAGGACTCTCCTGAAGCTGTTCTCCTTGTCACTCGGAGTTTGACACTCTATGATTGGATCTTCAGGATGCCTGAGTACTCAGATGGGAAAAAAGAATCTCTTTCACCAGGTACTCATCATCTGCATAGCTTCTCTAGGTAAAAACAGACTTGAAGATGTTTACAGATATTATTTTGAGTTGTTTTTATAGCATATATCTAGATAGGTGGCTGACTATTTCACTTTATTATGGATTTTTAAGTACAGTTATAAAAGTATTTTTCTCTTAAGACCAAATTCAGTAATGAAGTTTAAGAATTATTTGAAGACTATAAGCAAAAACAAAATAAATTTTGGTGTTTGGTTTTTCTGTTGGGATATATGAGATCTGAAGTCAGTCCTTATGAAGTCAGGAGGAAAACCCAAAGAACTCTTTTTGGTAACTATAGCTAATTCACTTCAGTTGCCTGTGGTCATTTAGCTAAGGCTGATTATCTGATTAAACATTTGCAGCTCTTTAACTGTTCCAATTTTGTGTAGAGACTCCACCTCTACTAAGAGCCAGAGCAACATAACACAGTAAAAATTATTACTTGGGTTGCAATATTACTGCAAAGCTGAGCCTAGATCATAGGTTCTCCACCCTAAGTATAAACACCACCCATCATTTTTCTTCTTTGAAAGGACTGATTCCGTCAGGGCCAGAAAGTTCTGGAAAACTGGCCTGGTGAGTGAATTTTACTTTGTTTACAAAGTTCATTAAAATATTTAAGTTCGTGGGGCGCCTGGGTGGCTCAGTGGGTTAAGCCACTGCCTTCGGCTCAGGTCATGATCTCAGAGTCCTGGGATCGAGCCCCGCATC